TGTTGAGTCAGAACCAACTCAGAGCTGATTCTTCAAGGAGTTTTCAGAGGCTGTTACTTGCATGGGAGAAGATTGCCCAACTTTTTTCAAAAGAACAGCTGGTTTTATACAGTATTTGTCCTTGTGACACTGAGTTAGTTCACTCAGCATAATACTCTCCAGCCCTTCCCAAGTTAGGTAATAATTTTTAAAAATCTTTGTTCCTGCTGCTGCGTAGTATTCTATTGTGTGAATGTACCATAATTTCTCAATCCATTCATTTGTGGTTGGACATCTGGGCTGTTTCCAAGTTCTTGCGATGGTGAATAATGCTGCTATGAACATTGGTGTATAAGTCTCCGTTTTGGGCCTCAGTTCTCGTATTCTCAGGGTATATTCCAAGTAGTGGAATAATTGGACCATATGGAATTTCTATGTTTAGCTTTTTGAGGAAGCGCCAAACTGCCTTCCAGAATGGTTGCACCATTTTACAATCCCACCAACAATGTATAAAAGTTCCTCTCTCACCACATTCTCTCCAACATTTATTACTTGCTGCCCTGTTAAGCTTTGCCACTGTTACTCAAGTGAGATGGTATCTCATTGTGTATTTGATTTGCATCTCTCTTCTTGCCAATGATTTGGAGCATTTCTTCATGTGTCTGTTGGTCATTCAAATACCTTCCTCTGTGAAAATTATTTCCTTGTCTTTGCCCAATTTCTACAAAACCATTATTGTGAAATGAGTATAAGGATCTGAAAAAAAAAGAGTATAAGGATCCAGGGGTGGTGGTGGAGGGTGGAAGCAGAGGGATGAGGATGTGCAGGGGCATGGGGGAATTAATCATGGAGTTGGACAATTTAATGGGTGGGGGTGAGGGAAATGGGAAGAATCCACTCTAGAAAACAATATATTTTGCAAATAAACTAGTATAAAAAAGATTTTTTTTAAAGCAGCTGGTGTACTTGAACTACTTGCCTTTGGTCTACCAATGCAACTTCTTACCCACTAGATCACCAGAGCTCCCTTCATCATAACCAAGTGGAATTTATTCCAAGAATATGTGTTTGGATAATCAAAGGAAAAACCAATGAACATAGCACACCATGTTAACAGCACATGGACAAGAATCTAATGATTACCTTAAGAGACACACACAAAAGTTTGACAAAATTCAATATCATTATTTTATGATTTATTTTAAAAACCCCAAAACACCCCCCAAAACAAAAGACTCTCAGGAAAATAGAAATAGAAAGGAACTTCTTAAACCTGAAAGAAGGGTTTCTACAAAAACTCACAGCTACCAACACACTTCCTAGTGGAAAATAATCTTTTACTCTTTAAATGGTAATTAAAGAAATGGTGAGAGAAAACATTCCTTTCTTGTTCTTGATCTTTGAGTGAAAGATTAAAAAACAAAACAAAACAAAAACCCAACAAAACCCCAAAACATTAGATGCAAGATACTAGGGAGCTCTGGTGGCCTAGTGGTAAGGAATTACACTGTCAATTTGAAGGTATGTGGTTTGAATCTACCAGCTACTCCATGGGAGAAAGATGGGCAATGAACCCCACGAATTTACTGCCTCTGAAAATTTTCAGGAGGGTCAGCTATGAGTCAATTCTGACTCAATAGTACACAAGAAGAAGAAGAAGAAGATACTAGCCAAGGAAATATTTTAAGTTATTTTTCTAAGCATAATGGAGGATCGATTCAGTGATTGGGGTAATGGGAGAAGGTGTGTCAGAGACGGTGAAATTGGCACAGGATAGAGCAGCATTTAGGGCTCTTGCACTTAGGATAGTTATGAGTCAAAAGCGACTCAGAGGCACATAACAACAACAGCAATGGAGGAGTTATCTTTTTTATTATGGTTGCTTTTACTAAAAATCTGCATGGCACAACCACACTTTTCTTGTCCACAGTTTTCTGGATGTGTCAACATTCTTATTATTGTTGCAGTGATTTCATGACGAAACATTTTTACAGGTTATTTACCAATGGAATTCTTAAATATATTGAAAACTCCCATTTATTTGTGATGTCTCCCTTTTTGTATCACACTTTTTTTTTTCTTACCAGAGTTTCCATCTCAGCTCTAGATCATAAGAGTGATCTAGATTGGGCTAAGAAGAGCTTTTCTTATTTGATTAATTTTAAAACATTAACAATCCTTAAGAATGTCATTTTCCTTAATGTAATGTGTTTTCCTTATTTGCACCTGTATTTGACAGTGTCTTAGCTTGTTACTTTTTAGAAGGGAAATGTTTCAGTATTTCAGTATGTAAACTGCACACCAAAATGGACATAAGTTTAGTTTTATTTCATAATCAACAAAATATTGGTCTAAACAACTTCATTTTGTTTTCCTTTAATATCACCTTTTGCACTGGAAACAATATTTCTAAGATACTAATTTTCATTGTTTTATAATTTATAGCTGAATAAGGCAACAATTCTGCCAGATAGACTCACCATATTTATGCTTTTATTTCCCTAATTTGAGCAATATGAAGTGGTTCTTACTATCTTTAGACATGCTAGATAAAAACCAAAGATTTTGCTAAATTCTCACATTAAACAATAAGGATTGCACATAAGTAGGTTGAAAAAACACAACTCATTTCAAAGCTAGCATTCATAGACTTTTCCTTGGCTACACGAAAACTATTAAGCGTCCATGTTAAGAATATGAATTAGAGTGACTCGATTAATCAGTAACTTTCCCCTTTGCTTTTCCCTCTCCTATCTTTTCTTCCTGTCACATTGTGTTAGAGACCATTGACTTATAGATTCACTAAGAATAATTCTTTGAGGCATAATGGATAACATACACTAAAAAAACAAAAAGAATAAATGCTGTACAGAATCATGTAAGAATTACTCCATTCTTGAGCCAGACATTACTATAATAACTGCATTGCAGACACTAAAATGAAAGTCTTTTTTTTTTTTTTAGTAAAATCCCAGTTTTTAGGGAAACAAACAAAACATACATAAAACACCTCTTTATTGCTTGAGAAATGAGCACAGGCTTTGTTAGTGGTACCCCAGAGAGCTCAGGTCCCAAAATGAAAAGGGTAGGAGGAACACTCCGGGACCCACTTTTGTGAATGTGCAATCTTTTAGGAGGGTAGGAATGGACCTCTTCACCACGGTCCCTGTGCCATGCACTGAGGCTTGATCACTGAACGAAGACACGTTAGAGGATTCTTCAGGAATTCACACAGGAACAGGCAAAGGATGACACCTGGTGGTGCAGACTCAGCTTAGGAAGGAGAATTCTTCATGACTGTCACGTCAATTTGAAGGCTTGGCTCTGCCTTTCAGCCGTCTGGGCTTAAGAAGGTTCTTCTATCAACTGCTTTCTTAACACAGGAAAGCAAAACACAAACAAACGTGTCCCTGATGAAAAATGCAGGTTCAAATTTTCCTTTTTAGGTCAAATGATTTATTGTTTTTACAACATTGTATGGGGAAAGGATACATAGGCCAGGCAACTCAATGGCACATAACAACAACAACAACAGAGAGGATTTCCTCTCTTCTTGGTTTTATTTTATTTTATTTAAGCCTCTTGCTTAGAGTTAACAAGCCCTCAAAGAGAGCCTTTGTATTTAAAAGTCGGTTGTTCTTATATTTTGGAGAAACATCCTCCTAAGTGGTCGAGCACTCTTCTGTCAATAAGCTGTACTAAAGTAACCGGAAGTCACTGTGATGCTGAACCGTGTGTCACTGGGGTGTCAAATGGCATAATGGTTACCCATGGTGGACAGTGTTTGGTGGAGCTCCCAGTTTAAGACAGGTTTGAAAACAGGGGTGGCATCCACTTTCTAAATAACATGCCTCTGGAAACTATGAACTTTTTGAAATGACAATAGTTACAGAAAGGCTTCAGGCCTTTCATTCATAGGGACGTCTATGAGTTGTGCTCGACTTGGCGGCAGTCAACAATAACAACAACAACAGTGTAAAATAACTGAGAGAGAGAACAAGTTATATTATAATGTTAGTAAACACAAGGATTTTTCCCTGCAATAACAAAGATAATTGCTTGAAAACGTGAAAAGAATATGTCTGAGTTAAAAAAAAAAAAAGTTTCCAATTTGAAGCACCCTTTGAAGAGGAGTACTGATTAAATGATTAAGTGCTTGGCTGATAACCAAAAGGATGATAATTCAAACCCCCTCTTTCCCTAACTCAACAGGAGAAAGACTTGGAAATCTGATCGCATAAAGATTACAGCTTAGAAAACTCCATGGGGCATTACTAATTGGTCCCTTGAGATTGCAGTGTCAAAATGAAGTTAGTGACACCCAGCAACACTGAACCCCTCATTTGCTCCCCCTCATTTGCTTGAGTGGCTCAGTTCTTATAAATCAGGGAAATAAGGGGGGGTACAGAGAGAATTTCTTATATTCTGATCCCTCTAGCTTCTGCCCACATGACCCACTAAAGCCCAAACTTGTAAGATAGATGTCAATATCATTCACTTGTCATTCTTAGAAGATGATATTACAGTTCTGCAGGTCAGATTTTTATAAAAAATGACACTGATTTTCCCCACCCTCTACAGTCCCATTGGAACTTAAGTGAGGATAATAAACCACACAGAACTTGCATTTTTATTTTAGTATGTGTATATATATATATATATATCGTGCTCAGATCTTTCGTTCATAGGGTCACTGAGGGTCGTTTAACTCGATGGCACTTAAGAACAACAACAACAACATATACTGTATCAACTGCTTCCTAGATTAGAATTGCTCCTTAATAAGCCTTAAACTGAATATGAAATATATAAATATATAATATTTGCAAAAAATATTCCTTTTGATATGAGACACATGTAATATGTGTTCAAAGAAATAATACCCTACGTGCAAATGTCCAACTTGTGCGAGCATTTTTAGCTGAGAAACTTCTGGGTGGCTGGGATTCTGCATAGTCTATCGAGTATTCATCCCCTTTCAGTAAAAGAGAAAAGAAGCCAAAGGGGAAAACCCCAAAGCCTCAGGAATCCGGGAAAGCCTTGATGATGGACTCGTAGGCGGGGGGCGGTGGTGGTGTGGAGAAGCCCATTCGCACGTTGTTACTGGACCAGTGGAAATCTGGGCGGCCCAGGCTGCGGGTTGTGTTGACCCCAGGGCTGGCACTGGAGGAAGGGAGTGTCATCAAGTGGCTGTCAGTTTCCACTGGAAGTGGCGGGCTCTGCAGAAATGGATGGAAAGTAGAGGCCCGAAAGCTTGACTTTCTCGGAAAGGAATTTGCTGGATCCATGGAGGCCTGTCGCTGGAAAGTGAGGCTGGCCAGGCTGAGGTTGCTTCGACGTTCACAGCCACTGTGGCGGTAAAACCCACTTCTGTTGAGTCCATGGTTGTAGGAAGACCTGGATCGCCGGCTGGGGCTCCACTGTGAGATGGGGGCACTGGCCCTCCTTCGAGACAAGCAGACGAGCAGGGCCCAAATGCAGCCTCCAATGACAAGGCCTATCGCCATGGACACGGTGAAAGACATGATAAGATCCTCTGAAAGAAAACAAAGCAAAGGCTGAATCCATTTTTAAAATAGATACTCCACTAAAAGTAAACGTACACAGAGAACACACAGCAAGTTACTGGTAAGAGATTCCTTAAAACCTGCTTTGAAATAGTGAGACAAAACAGTACTAGTATCTCTGAGCAAATGAAAACAAGCATGATGGCATTTATTTAAAAATCTCTGGCTCTGATTGTAAAATGGTGCAACCATTCTGGAAGGCAGTTTGGCACTTCCTTAAAAAGCTGAACATAGAAATTTCCTATGACCCAGTCATTCCACTACTTGGAATATACCCTGAGAATATGAGAACTGAGGCACAAACT